TGTCGATTGACAAAATTTTTTTTCTGTGTCATTTTAAACAGAGAAATTCTATAATAGTATCTATAAGCTTTTCCATGTCAAATAAATCAAAGTTTGGAGTAGAGTTTTTTTAATAAGGTAATAGTAACGCAAAAAATTTTGAAATTTTGAACTCGAAATTACGAGGCTTGAAATTTTGAAGTGATCCTAGGCTTGAAAACCTTAAATCAGGAGATTTTGTGATTAAGATCTCTATAAAAATCTATAGTTATAATTGCAAAGCGTCTCTTTCCTCTCTTATGTACCTTTTCTAGAAAATGCTGGTTTTCCCTTCTATAGGCTGAATAATGAAGGTATTATTCCTCTTTTCTTTTTTCAGATATATTTCTATGTTTATTTTTTTTCGCCACTGCCATTGGAAATTTCTACTTTTTTTCTTCACCATTGATTTTAGGAAATTACTGGCAAAAGTAATAATTTAAATTTTACTTTAACAGAGTTTTTGTACAATTTATCGATTTATTGAAAAATAGAAGATCCAAAATATTACGAAATTGGCCTTTTTGCCATTGGGAAATCAGACATCTAGGGAAAGATAGCTTATCTCGCCCTACCCCGCACAATCGCCTTTATCGCGGCAACTCCCACGGGCCTTTTATTATCATGCCACTGTGCTTTTAGACCTTTCTATTCATCTAACACTACAGAAATCATTATTTTGGAAAAAAAATACTTTCTGTTCGATTAGTATTATGAGTGTTTGGTTGCTTTCTCAAAAATCTACTCGTAAATTGTTCTTATGAATATGTATTTTCTTCGAACGATATCCTTCTCAAAATTGCACAATCTTATCGTTTTGTGTTTGTTATTAATATTTCTTATGATTAGATCGCTAGCTGACTTTATGGAAAGGGCAACATTGCTGACTAATCTCTGTTTGTAGTGCTTATGCTGCCTTAGCTGCCTTTTCACTTTTGCAATTGTCATTCTGTTTCGACGTCTACCAGAACCAAAAAAAAAATTGGATTTCCTCAAAACCAATTTTTTATAAATTTGTCGATGAAGTTCGCTCAAGTCTGTCTTTTGAAGTCTTTTTTTTCATGTCAAAGAATAAAGTTTACGATCAAATATATAAACGTATGGGATTCTATAAAAGTTTTGTGGCGTTATCAGGAATTTCAAGAAATTTTTCCTTTCTTTCATTCAGCTTTAATTGGCTAAAAATTGCTATGAAATAGAAGTTAACCAGCAAGCTAAGCCGTTTGATACTGCACATTTTCCTTTCGTTACGTTTGCTTTGACAATTTTGTATTAGTCGCAAATTTCTCATTACATTATTTTCATTTAAAAACCGGATCCTACATCTAGCATTCAGTTTTAGTATTTTGGATAAAGTCAAGCGGCAGTCACAAAGAGCTTTTCGCTTGATACAGAATATTATTGATCAGCTTCAAAGCTTCTCCCAGAACTTTTTTTTGTAAAATGCCAATCAGCAGTAGCCGTTGGGCACCCGAGAAAAAGAGTTTGTTGTTTTCTGTGGACTCGATATTTTAGCTACATATACTCCCGAAGTGGTCAATAGAGCAAACCAACGGTCGCTGTGACATCATACTTAGCAACTGATAAACTACAGTAATCACGGTTTTCCAAAAATTGGTTAATCCCTCAGTGAGAGATTGCTGGCCGTAAGAGTTGACGCAAACCCGGTACTGTACTTACAAGTGGGTGGTTCTCAATGATGTCGCTTTGTCTCCAATCGGTTTCATAGCGTTTTTATCCCAGTTAGAAGACAATGTATAAAGTATAGTATTGGCTGATCATTCTTGCCATCCCTAATTAATCAAAATTTTCTTGCATTCAAAAATATGAAGATAGGAATTGAAAGCATGTAAATCATCCTTTCAAACAAGTGTATGGAAATGTGTTGAGAACAAAAAATCTCGAAAGGAAAAACATTTCCTAATATGTAACATTTTGTTATGAAATCACACAATTCTCTTCTGGAGAGCACTTTTTTGTTTATGTGATTGAATTCATGGGTAAACGTTGGTATTGTATCCGCTTACATTCTTTTGAAATGTAAACATTTTCGAGTTCACATAACTTGCGGTAGAAAGATTGTGCACCAAAGCCGGTGCTTGCATAGCATTTAGAATAAATTCCTGTAGCAAAAACTTTGTTAATGTGTTGTTTTATGTCCGTTTCACAGGAAACTCCTTGTTTATATCTATTTTCAAGTAACAGGTGCTATTAACCATTTGCGGTTTCCTTATTCAATTAAAATACGGAATAAAATCATATAGCAGTGGAAAAATTTTTTTGCCAAAATTAATTTGCAACCTGTATCTCGAGCGGTACGCACAAAAGCGGAAACCATATCTATAAAACAGAAGTGACTTGAGTCAACTTTACTTTTACAAAAATTATAACTTCTTTTGTGCCGCTTAAGGGTTAGTGTACCTTCTTGTT